GGGACTTCGGATGATTCTTGGCTGGGGGAGGGGGGCTTAGCTCATGTTTGGGTTATGAACTCTGTTTGTGGTATTTTCCCAGGTTAATGCCATATGACTTCTCTCTCTGTTTCATTAAATGTTTCTTTCCTACACTTAGACCCTGTGCTTGTGAGTGGGGAAGCATTGCCTCTCAGAGGCACCCAGGGGTGTGTGAATTTCCCAGGTTACTGGGTGGGGCCTCGAGCCGGTTCTGTGTGAGATGGACCCCAAGATATTGACCCCGGTCCTGGTTGCTGCCAGGCCTACCCGGTAGAAGGGTTACACTAGTATTTTACATCCCTGGACCAACTTGTCTCTATCCCAGGACTAACATGGCTGTAATCCCACTGCAAACATATTTGACTGTTTTGATTTCTCTTGGAACTAGAGAACAAATACAGTCCTGGGAGACTGAGCTAGATTCTTCTGACTCACAAATCATTATAGGACTTCTTGTGCAGAATGTTTATGATTGATTATAAATAAGCCAGAAAGAACCCAACTCGACAGCCAGAACCCATTTTGAGTTTGCAGGACTCATAATTAGAAAAAAAATCTTCTCTTTTAATAGTTAACCAAGGAAATTACAGATGGAAAATTCAAGACATAGTGAAGATGAAAACCCATGTTGATACTCTTTTCACTGTGTAACCACACTGTAAGGCATACTTCATGTTTTGGAAACCTCAGTGTTGTCTTTTCTGTCCTTCGCAGGTGACGTGCACCCCTGTATTTACTGTTAGAGAGAGTGGTAATGACACCGGCAAGGGATTTATGCTATCTTATGACCCTAGCATAATGTGCAAGTGAGATGGAGGGCAGGCAGTAACTCTGCAAACCCAGGTCCAGGGGAGAGTGATGGGTCTTATGCATGAGCTACTTATAATCTGATTGCATGTAATAATGCTGCTGTAGTTCGAAATGTAACGTGCACATGACAATACACGTACATGTAATAATAGAAGAGAATAGGGAAACTCGAGGTCCACTGGTGCCCAGTTTCTGCCCTTCTCATGCAATCACCAGAAATTGAACACAAGGGATATCTCTGAAGGAAAGCAAACATTCCCATCCCACCCACTGTAAATAGTCCTTGATCATACACCTGAGGAGGGGAGCGTTCTTCCAAATCGCAAGTCAGGTTAATAATTTAGAGCTGACTGAGAAACTGACATTGAATTATGTGTGATGGAAAGGAGTGTTTTAAGGTAAAAATCTCATCACAAAAACATTACTAAGAATTGAAAGTGTAGTGGTCGTTGTGTTGGTCCCAGCCTAGTAGAGAGACAAGATGGGGGAGGATCTGTTGTGAATGAGACAAGCCTCCAAGCTTACCCAGATCTCTCTAGACCTGAAGGAGAGCTTGGTGAATGCTCAAAAGCTTCTCTCTCACACCCACAGAAATTGGACCAATAAAAGATCTTGCCCCTCACACTTTGTCTCTCTAATATTTTATTAGTTGGAAAAATAAGCAGACAGGATTTGAAATGTGCACAGAAAGCAAATCTCTTGAGCAAAGAGATGGCTTTTTTGCACAGGGCCTAATTCAGTGGCTGTGAAAGTAAACGGAGAGAATCCCATCAACTTCATCAAGTGTTGGCTGAAGCCCATAGGGACTCTGACTGTAACCACTTAACAGCATCAGTATGCTGGCCACTTTAAGCCTATTTTGAAGTCAGAGGGTGAAATCTTGATGCCAGTGTATTCAGTGGTAAAACTGCCATTTACTTCAGTGGGCGAGGATTTCACCCATATTTTTCTGATTTTTTTTAGGCAGAGAAGCAGGTGGTTTGTGGTTATATCTTAGAACTGCAAAGCTCAAACCCAGAATGATATTTGAAATGCTGAGTATAAAACCCAAACCAACCAGTGCTAGCCTCTAGAAATTATCACGATGGCAAACTGCCTAGCAGTTTGCTATCATGTTTCTGAAAATCTGTGGGGGTATTTTAATCTTTATTTCATCTGTCAATTATATAATTTGAGAGGAATTTGGGAGGGGGAACAAACATTGTCCTTAAAATAATTTCTCTTATAAAATATAACACATGCACAGATGATACCCAGTATGTTTCACACTGGAGGACTAAGCTTTTCTTATTTTTAAGTGGCTGTCATGGGGATTCAATAAAAGTTACAATATAACAAATCATGCCTTGCAGATAAAAGGCCAACATTAATTGGTTTTCACCCAAGTGCTAGACAATAATGTAATGATCGCTCCAGAATTTTTAGGTACAAGAGTATGTGCTGAAACAAAGCATATGAAATTCTGTATTGGTTTTACATTTAGTTTGTTAGTTACCTATTTTTTTAATTCAGAAAGAAACATAAGTTTCTACTTAGGGATTTATGCCATATTCTTCACTGTGGTATCTGAAAAGCTGCATTGCACCATGAGCCCCAGAAACAAATTTTTGCCAGATAAAAAAAGAATTCTAAGGAGCACCCAGACCCTTGAATAATCTAGACTTTATGTCAAGAAATCACTTCAGTGATTTCTGCATAAAATCAGGCAATCTCTAATATAATGATAACTAATATTTATATTTCAGTAAGCAAATGGATTGGAACTAGATGCTATGCAATTAACATACAGTGAAAGACACTTCCTGCCCTAGATTACATTTACCATATGTAACATTTCAACACCGATTAGAAACTGCTTTAGGAAAATTTGTATCAGTCATTAATGGTCATTAATCATAGTTTTGCATTATTTAGTTTTATTTTAGATTAATAAAAATACTTCCTTGCATACAGCTCAATATGCACATACAGGCCATCCTCGCTATAAGTCCAAGGTATGTTCCAAAAAACTCGGACTTTTGTGAAACTACTTAAAGAGGGGATTTTTTTTCACCACAGCTGACTTCCATTTGGGAAAATTGGGAGTTTTTTTGCACCACTTAAGAGCAGGGAATGGGAGGACTTAAAATGCATCTTTTCCTATAAGCGTCAACTATTTTAGTGTGGAATGGATGTATACCGGGGCAACTTATAGCAGGGACGCCCTGTACAACACGTAATAAAGACACTATCATTACACACAACTGCCCAGCTTTCAGAGATGGGTGTAAAGGACCAGATTTAGGTGGACACCTGGGCAAAGTGGGGGGCAGAGTCTCTGGCAGAAGGCACTGGGCTGGGGATAGCAAGCCCTTAGCATCACCCAGAGTGCACCATACCCCCCACCAGCCTTCAGGGCTAGTCAGTGCTCCAGCAGTGATTTAAAGGGCTTAGGGCAGTTGCTCCCTTTGCTGCACCCCTCCCCCAGTTGGTGGGCCTGACCAGACCCTTACTATGAGTCAAATCTCACTACCCAGCCTCTGTCAGGCAAAATGCCTTTGAAAAAGAAAGGTTTGTGATGTCAGAAAGTTAAAATGTGGATAGATTACATATTGAAATTAATTACTAAAATATACAGCAAAAGGGCAAGCTTTATTGCCTTGTACACCACTAACTGATATAAAGAATACATCTCATCATAAGACCCGTGCTGTTCATGCTGCCAAAGACCATTATCATCTGACAAAAAAAATCCATAGTTCCTTGACAAATGTGTAACACCTGCCAAGTCAAACACACCATGAACTAATCCAGTCAGATGTACTGCCTATATAATGAAACAAATTGCCTCTCATATCAGACACTGAAGGAATCTGAAGTATCTAACTACTGAGTTAAAACTCTGATGTAACTTGTGTTCTTCATCACCCTTCAGGGAAACTATACCTGTGTTTCTCCTCTCAAGTCCAGCAATGGCACCCACTCCCCGGTTCCAGGCTCCTCATCAGTCTCTTCTCTTGGCGAGAGACCTGCATTTTTTTCCCTCCAGACTGTAGTATTTCTACCACTTCCTGCACAGCTCCCTGCCTGTATTGTGAGACTGCTACTAAGAAAGCACATTTATTCTTAAGGTAAAAGCATTACAGAGAAAACATTAAAAGCGATAAAAGAACCTACTCACATGCTACTAAGGCTATCACAGATGACCACTTCACTCTGACAAGGGCTCCGCTTGGTGATAAGTCTTTCCAACCCCACATAAGGGTTTTACTTGTAGTCAAAGTTCATTACAGCTTCAACTCAGAACAAGCATGCTCAGTCTTATGAGACCTCAGTAGGCCAAAGTCCTTCCAACGCATACATATCTCCCCCTCTCCCTATCCCCCGCCCCACAAAGGAGCTGTCAATTTACAGGCCGAGAAAGAAAACCCTTAGTCCATTTTAATTCAAGTTATTTAATTCTCTGGAGAATTCACTTTGAATCTATATATAGAAGCTTCGCTCTAGGTGATGGTATCTTGTTGGAGATGATATAACTGAAAAGAATTTGCCTGACTCTTCTCTCCTCAGTTCTTAGCTCCTGAGGGTCCCACTCCCCATGGAATTAAACAAAATACTTGGCCCACAATAATAAACTGAATTTGATATGGCTTGTCCAGGATAGTTCAGGAAATGAGCATATTTGTCACATGCTTCTTTACAGTTGAGCCTTTCTTTTTAATCTTAAGCAATCTTTCAAGCTGCGATTGAAATATTTGCTGTGATTTGGTTTTGACTCTGCAAAAAAATATTTGCAATTTTGTATACTTAGACAATGTAAAAACTTAAATGGTGCTGGTGTAACCCACACCTAGACCACAGCAACAGTAGAGACCTCTACAGCATGGGCTGGGAGCCAGCTGGCTTTTAGCTCAGTGGGTAGAGGCTCTTATACGCCACTTCAGCGATCCCAGGTTCAAATCCGCCTGGTGGTGGTTATATTGAGCCAAGCAAGATCTTCATCCTAATTTGAAAATACAGTTCTATTTTTACTTGGTACCTATCGGAGCTCTGTAATAGAAGGGGTATTTATATTGGATGCACAGATTGCATTCTTCAGAAAATCTCCAGACATTTTTCAGATACCTTTAGACACCTCCAGCAGGGCATCATGTGCCTCCTTCCCCCTAAGAGAATATTTCATTTTTTACCTTGCCACAGTTATGTTGACATTCCATGTGCTTCCTGTTCTGGTATTATCTCTTAATGATCTTCAAGAGCTGAGATGTGGCTTATCCAGAGCCATTCTTTCCCTTTCCCACTTGCTTTTTTTCCAGTTGTCAACACACTACAGAGCAACTCCAATTCCCTCAAATCCGGCTGAGGTTCCCTTGCCATAGACTAAGGGGGAACTCTTGTGGCTCTATACTAAAGTCCTTGGGGACATAGAAATGATACTTCTGTGGACAAATCAAAGTCCATCTCCATTAAGAGGTCCCTTCTCAAGAGGTCCCCAGCATAGTGACACCACCAGATAATGGCCTTCATCATGAACTATTAACGATAGGCCAGATTTTCCAAAAATGGACCACAAAGATTTTTTTTAAACTGCAGCCTATAAAGATTCATTCCATTTTCATCCCTTAGGCCTGTTAGATTTCTCTGAGATGTTTACGGGCTGCTGGATTCTGTTTTAAATCTTTCACTTAATGACCCTATTTCTCTGCCTCTCTTTTTTCCCTTCCCTGCCCTCAGATTTAAAAAAAGCTTCAGTTCTTAGTGTGTAAGGACTCTTTCTGCATCAACAGCAATTAAATCACCAGAAAGATAAACTTCCCTTCCCTTTGTCTCATTCAGCTTCTTGTTGCATGGCAACAGCAGTGATTGCCTCCTTGTGCTCTCCCGTTCAAGTGGGATTCGGTAACATAGGAAGCAGAGATATCAAAGACTCTAGGAACAGAAGGATGTAGGAGCTGAAGCAGCAATCTCTGATGGCATCATAACAAGAGCACAGCCTGACTGCTGGTTTCTCTATGCCCTCATTTTGGGCTGCATATATATCTGCTTTGCAACTTTTGCTCATCATCATTTTGCAGAGAGTCAAGAGGTCTGACACAGAGATTTCATTCTTTCCTTTCAATCTGAGCTTAGCCAAGATATAAAATACAGATTCAGATTTCAATCATCCTACTGTACTGGAGTATTTTGGATCTGGGGTTATAAGTTCAGCCTACTCTAAAGTTAGGGGCAGACAATTGTCTTAATTTTGCAGAACTCTTGAACTTTAGGTCACTAGACCTTTAGTCATATCCAATGTTTTGATTTGGACTACTTGCTTAAATACTGCTCACAAACTGTTGGCTAATTTTGAACAATAGCAGAATATGACAAATGAAAAGCGACACAAATTGTTGAATAACTTGTTCACTGCAAAGTTTGTCCAGCTCAGCTACAGCATTGCAACCCTGGCTCTGACAAGTTACTCACCGTGTCACCTTGGGCAAGTGGCTTAGGCCCAGATTATCAAATCTGTTGAGCTACTTAACTCCCATTGAGATTGCAGGCTTTTCTGGAGCCCTACGCATAACTAGCACTGTAAACCAAAGGCTGTGAACCAGAATAGATTTAGCCTTGATAGAACAACAATACACAAGGTACTAATTAAGCCCAAGTAAGCCCATTCCTGAATGGAGATGATGGTCCAAAAATACACAGACCTTTCAAGAAACTATGTACAGTAAATGTTTTCCTAAGAGATGGTACAAGAACACACTGACTTCTCATAATATAAGGAGGGGATGTCAGGATAATGGATGTAGATGTTTTGTTCGTACTAGCAGGAACAAAGGTAAGGGTGGCAACTAATAACATAGGGTATGTCTACACTACCCCCCTAGTTCAAACTAGGGGGGTAATGTATGCATACCGAACTTGCTAATGAAGCCCGGGATTTAAATTTCCCGGGCTTCATTAGCATAAAGCCGGCTCCGCCATTTTTAAAAGCCGGCTTGTTCGAACCCCGTGCCGCGCGGCTACACGCGGCACGGGCTAGATAGTTCGAACTATGTAGTTATTCCGCGCGCCGCGTGTAGCCGCGCGGCACGGGGTTCGAACAAGCCGGCTTTTAAAAATGGCGGAGCCGGCTTTATGCTAATGAAGCCCGGGAAATTTAAATCCCAGGCTTCATTAGCAAGTTCGGTATGCATACATTACCCCCCTAGTTCGAACTAGGGGGGTAGCGTAGACATACCCATATAGAGTGTAATATTTAACTTGTCTGTACTAGTGTAAAGAAAGGAGAAGTCATAGCTGCTGATGCCATGTGTGCTCTGGGACTGGAGTAGCCATGGAAAAAAATTAGTGGATGCTTAGCACCCACAGGCAGCCAGCTCTCCCTCTTCCACTCCTGTGCCTCCCAGCAGTCCCGCCGATCAACTCCTCTCCATCCCTCCAAGTACCTACCATCTACCACAATCAGCTGGTCTGTGGCCTGCAATGACAAGGTGCATGGAGGTGGGAGGGGGGGGTGGAGATTGGAAGAGGTGAGGTGGAGCTGGGGGTAGGTCCTGGGACAGAACAGGGGCTAGAAGAAGTCGATCAGGGGTGAGACTTGGGGGAAGGGTGGAGTGGTGTGGAGCCAACAGCAGAGCAGGGAATTGAGCACCCCCCTGGGCCTGAAGGAAGTCAGCACTTATGATAGGAGGGCATCTTTGCACTTGTGGAGGGAAAAGCATCCTGGTGCACTGACCAATCAGGAATTATTGTTGTGAGCAAATGTGTTACTGTTCCTGGAACGCCTATGGGGTGCTACTTTGTTGACAATACACCTGGCTTTTGCCACCAACCCTGGTCTTTCTTTATGAACAATGACAGAGTCGGCTGAATCAGCAGCTGCACGCTCTGCTAGTGCATCTGAGATTGGCACTCCAGACGCAGCAGCACTTAGCAGCCTTAACAATGATGCAGTAGTTACAGCATTCTGCATCACTCTCACAAATTAATGGGATTTCAGAGCCTAAATGTCTGGGCCCTAGATCCTGACACAACTTCTGTTAAAGTCAATGGACCTACTCCCATTAACTTCAGAGTATCTGGCTCAAGTCTTTACAATCCCTGCTTCCATCTCACCACTAGTAAAAGGAGAACAATGTTAGTTCTCCATCTACCCTCATCAACTGTTGGGTGTGGGCCACATCAACCCTGACCTGGCCTCATTAGCATTTGATAAGGTAATTCCCTTCTTTTCGTGCACTATTGTATTTATGCCTGCCTCACTAATTTCCACTCCATGGGTGTGTCTAAACTACATGGCTCCATCAATGGAGCCATGTAGATTAGGCTGATTGGCAGAGGGAAATGAAGCCGTGATTTAAATAATCGCGGCTTCATTTAAATTTAAATGGCTGCCGCGCTGAGCCGACAAACAGCTGATCAGCTGTTTGTTGGTTCAGCGCGCTAGTCTGGACGCTCCCACACAGACCGGAAAGCCCTTTATTGACCTCCCCGTTATGCCTTGTAGGATGAGGTTTACCGGGGAGGTTGATAAAGGGCTTTCATGTCAACAGGGAAGCATCCAGACTGCCCCGATCTGCCGACAAACAGCTGATCAGCTGTTTGTCGGCTCAGCGCGGCAGCCATTTAAATTTAAATGAAACCGCGATTATTTAAATTGTGGCTTTATTTCCCTTTGCTGAACAAACAAATCTACATGGCTCCGTCAACGGAGCCATGTAGTCTAGACGTACCCCATGTGTCTGACAAAGTGGGCTTTTGCCCATGAAAACTTCTGCCCAAATAAATCTCACAGAAGGTAGCTATGTTAGTTTGTAACTTTAAAAACTAGTAGTGTTGTCGCACTTTAGGGTATGTCTACAGTACAAGATAAGGTTGAATTAAGATACACAACTTCAGCTACATTAATTGCGTAGTTGAAGTTGAAGTACCTTAACTAGACTTTTGTCACTGTCCACACTGCAGGAAGTTGAAGAGAGAATGCTCTCCCTTTGACTTCCCTTACTCCTTGTGGAAGCGGGACTGCTAGCATTGACTGGAGTGCCCCTCTCAGTTTGAATTAGCGTGTCTTCCCCAGACCTGTTAATTTGAACCCTGGAAGATCAACTACAGCAGCTTTGATCTTCTCCGTAGAGTAGACATACCCTTAGAGACTAACAAAAATATATAGAATCATGGACTTTCGTGGGTAAGACCCATTTCGTCAGATGAGTTGGAGTGGGTCTTACCCACGAAAGCTCATGATCCTACATATTTTTGTTATTCTTTAAGGTGCTACCAGACAACTCATTTCCAAATAAATCTGTTAGGTGGTGCCACAGGACTCCTCGTTGCATTTGGACTTAGGCATCTAAATGATAAATGGATCAACAGTGCACATGACCAGAGGCAAAAACATAGGAGTCAGGAGAACTTTTACTGAAAATATGTAAGTGCTAAATGGGTTTAGGCCTCTTCAAAGTTTGGCCATTGCTGAGTGGGAGTTTTATTCATACCAGTGGTAGCTGGTTCTGGAATTTAAACACCAAAAGTGGCAGTTAGGTGCCTAAGTTTCTTTGTGATTCTAGCACTGTTATTATGATAAGCAAAGTGTTAGACTGTTGACTATTGAGAAGACATAGCTATGTATTCAGTTTTAAATCATATGTCTAACACCCATCCACATACATTTACAGTAAAACATCCGAACACACAAATACATTCAGGACCTGGAGGAAGAGCCAAAAAAGTGAGTAGTCATTTGGATGGCCCCATCATCCAGCTGTCTGTTGGCCATGGCTTTAAGGACCCGGTTTTCAGAAAATCCTAGGCATCCACCTTTTGACAATCAGTATCCTTTAAGATGTCTTAGGTTGGATATCTAGAATTATGAATAGTTTTGAAATGTTAGCCATAGTCAATAGACTTGGTTTTCAACATGCCCTGGATATAGGACTGCTAATCTGTGAAACTCTGGCTGGGAAAGCAAATCCTGAAGCTGCAGCCCCTCCAACTGAAAATATAGATGTTCAAATGTAGGTACAGTCAGTTTGAGCAATGCAGCCATCATCAGTTGTCAAAAATTGCTTTAAGGGACCCAATGTAGGAATATATGAGGGGATTTATGCATATGTACTGTATACTAAAGCCTGCTTCACTGTCTCTTGTGCTGTGAATTTGATCATTAACTGAGTGTAATTATAATCATCTCATGGCAATGGATCCTTCAGTAATAAATAACATTAATGTGTTCA